TCTCTCTCTCTCTCTCTCTCTCTCTCTCTCTCTCTCTCTCCCTCTCTCTTTCTCTCCTCCTCCCCCAACCACCACCACTCACCTGCCCAGTTGGGGTTAATGAACATCACACTTTATCACATAAACTACGCGTCAGTGATTCATACACATGCATGGGTGTTGTGTAAGTACTTTCCTTACTTTACTTACATCACACATGGGTTAACCGCATGAAGCAAGTGAGTGCATGTGTCCGCGGACGCACTTAACCGTTCAGGCACGTGACGTATATAATAATGGACCTTGAAACTAATCTAGTCTGCTGTACGATTTGAGGCAACGAAACTTCATCGAATACATTGTACATGTACTTCGAAGTGTGAAATCACTTTTCGTGCTACAGTGTATTCGAATACAGATTGCAAATTTCAAAATCATTCTAACATTTTTTTTCATAAATCTTTCAGTAAGGGAGCTCACTGGGCCTGCGTACTATTTCTTTCTTTCAAAGCTATCCGCTGTGCTTTGATATTCAAGAGTCATAGGCCCTTAATGGACTTTCCGTGTTGTGATTAGTGAAAACGTGTACATAATTTGTATATTGAATAAATGTAGTAGTGAATACTTCTCGGAGGCATAGTTTGTAACTTTGGTTGGCTCCACTTATCATTCTGTCTCGTCATCATCAAGTACAAAGTATTGCTATTTTTACCGCAATGATTGTTGTAAGGTTAAGAGGAAAGAGACAAAACTCCACCATCCGTAAAAATCACGCTGTATTCTAATTATGACTCTGCCACGCTTTGAACAGTTGCTGCTGTGTGTAAGTGTACCTAGATGATGGTGATAATAATAATAATAATAATAATAATAATAATAATAATAATAATAATAATATAATAACAATAATAATAATAATAATAATAATAATAATAATATTAATAATAATAGCATTTGTATAGCGCATGTCCCCACTCGATACCTGGAGGTGTCATCTCTGACTCAGGGGTTGACGTGTAATGACCCTCCGTCCTTCACGGTCGCGAGCTGCCGTTGCACATTCCGCCATATCCAGGCCAGCCCATGTTCTTATGTTATCCAGCCGTGTTATTCTTTGCCTTCCTCTGGCTCTCCTGCCACATATCTTTCCTTCAAGCACCTCTTTCACAGTGGTCTCGTTTCGGTTTGAATGGCTATAGTATTGTATTTGTCTACATTTCATTATATTCAGCAGGGTTTGTATTGTGTGTAGAAGTGTATCAACACCTTAAGGTTATAAGAGGCGGGACCTCACAATTTAACGTCCGTCTGTCAACCTGATACTCGGTAACTTTCTTGAACACTTGTTCAAGAAAACCTAATAGTAGTAATAACAATAATAATCATAATAATAATAATAATGATAATAATAATAATAATAATAATACAGTGGAAACCATATATAACAGGCCCGGTAATAACAGGGATCCGGTAATAACAGGGATCCGGTAATAACAGGAATGTTTAAAATCCCCGTTTTTTCCTACTCTTTTTCTCTATTAAAAGTTATCGGCAATAACAGGGCCTCATCGGAGCCCAACCGGTTATAGCAGGGACAAAGGCTCGTTAACAATGTGTAAAAATTAAGAGAGAGAGAGAGAGGGGGGGGGGAGAGAGAGAGAGAGAGTAACGCAGTGATGGAGCAAGCCCACTCAAACCATGCCACAACTGCGAGCATACGCAGCGTGTGAAGCGAGAGAGGGCTGCGGTGTGCTGCACACCTCGATCTAGCCCAAAACCTAGCAAGACGCACGCGTAATGTGTCACCAACGATGTCAAGCGCAAGAGAAAATGCCTTTCAATTAACAAAAAAATACGAAATAATCCAGGCTGTTAACGAAAAGCAAGCTCCACTGGTAGATATTTTGTCGTCAGTTCGACATTCCACAAGGGTCGATTCACACCATTATCAAGGATAGAGAGAAGATAGTGGCAGCATACTCCTACTCCTATGGAAAGTTTGCTCTGGATCGAAAGAAAATGAGACTACCCGATGCAGATGCTGTGGACCAAGCTCTTCTGAATTGGTTGAAGGGGGCAAGGAGAAAGTTTGTGCCAAAACCCCTGTTCGTGGGTACTTGGGGCAAAGGAAACTACCCATGAATAAGTACAGCTGGATTAGTCCACAAAAGCTTACTTTCCTTGCATTTCTGATTTAACAGGGATCGGATATAACAGGATCAGGTTTCCACTGTAATAATAATGTGTTTGATTTTGGATGATTTGATCAAATTTGTTTTAAAATGCTAGCTTTGATCTTTCGGTGAAAGAAGATCTGACCGTACCCAAGTTCATCAAACTACATAAATCTAATGTACAGGGTGATTAAAAAAAGAATACGCCAAAATCATAACGCGCTATTTAAAAAACGAAGTACACAAGGAAACTCTAGCTTGGACACATGTACTACATACTCTTAAGTTTTTAATTTCATGTTCTACAAATACTCCATGT